TTTTTTTTTTTTTTTTTTTTTTTTTGGCAGCTGGCCAGCACAGGGATTGACACCTGGACCTTGGTGTTATCTCTGGGACCCTCTTATGAGATTGGGGGAAAGTCCAGATTTGCTAGGGAGACTGGGACTCTTGTAGAGCATAGTATCTTGTTTGTCCTGTCACTAGGATCTAAGTAGGTCTATAGCAAGTTCTAAGATGTAGCCATCCTTCTGGGACTACTATTCCATACTCCACAATCTTCAGGAGGGTCCCCTGGGAACCTGTAGTCTGAATGGTGGTGATACATCAAGATCAGTTGGAGCCTGATTTATTAATTGATTTGCATGAGCACAATTAAGTGCCCTCTTTCCCAGAGAATTCTGAAAAGAACGCCCATTGGTGGATAGAAAAAACCCAAAATTCTGCATCTCAGGCTCCCTCCTTTCTGCCTGAAGCTATCTTACCAAAATGTACGATAATTCACGTAATAATAATGGTTACCACTTTTTGGAAACCTAGTATGATCCCAAAACTTTGCTTTGTGTTTTATATCCTTTTTATTCAATAAATTATCTTCAGCACTGACTATGTGCAAGGCACTATTCTAGATGATGGGGATACAACAGGGGGAGAAGAAAAGATACAAATCCCTGCCCTGTGTAACTTAATTTCCAGAGGGGGGAGACAGACAACAAAATAAACACATTGCATAATGTGTTAAAAGAAGTTAAGTGCTATGAAAAAATAAAAATAAAGCAGAGAGTGCATGGAGGGATTACAATCTTTAAAGAGGTAGTCAAGGAAAAACTCCACAATCTGGCAAAATCAGGAGGAATAAAGCTCAGAGAGGCGATGGGTGCCCAAGGTCACAAACTAGTTATGGCAAAAGATGGAATTCAAACACATGCCTGTCCCAAACCCAGACTCTTTCCACATCAGCTTTAATCTTGTAAAACCTTTTATACTGATATTCTCAGACATCTCAGGATTAACGAGGCCCAACCCCACTTAATTTTCAGAGATCAGATAACATGAGCCATGTTGAATCCAAGAACAAAGAGCACACAGACAGGGCATGCTGATAAATCATGGCTCTCATTAACAGTCACACAAATAAAAACTAAACTGGGACTGCTGAGGTCTAGGATCTGCAGACCCTCTCATGGACCCTTTTTTTGTAGTGCTCTCTTTGTCCAGGAGCTTGTTTGTGGGAGGTGCATCCTCTCGGAGCTTCTCACAGAAGGTTGACCATTCTCTCCAGGCCGCCTCATCTTCGACAACCTGAAGAAATCCATCGCCTACACCCTGACCAGCAACATTCCTGAGATCACGCCCTTCCTGCTGTTCATCATCCTCCGTATACCCCTGCCTCTGGGCACCATAACCATCCTCTGCATTGATCTGGGCACTGACATGGTGAGGACCAAGCTGGGACCCAGTTCTTGGAACTCCTGTGTGATGGACTGAGTAGTAGGAGAAACCTGTGTCAAGAGAGAGGGGCAGAGATGGAGTTACTTCTGAGTTTTTCTCTGAACTCTGCGACCTCTGTCATTTCTACCTTTTATCCTCCAGGTCCCTGCTATCTCCTTGGCTTACGAGTCAGCTGAAAGCGACATCATGAAGAGGCTTCCACGGAACCCAAAGACTGATAATCTAGTGAACAACCGTCTCATTGGCATGACCTATGGACAGATTGGTACAGCCAGAGGAAGGAGGGGTGAAGGGAATGGGGAGTGTTTGTCCCTGCCTGGCCATTTGAGCCACCTCAGTTTGGAAGTCAAAGAGACATGTTCTCAGCAACAAAGTGAGAACACAAAGAACCATTGATCTCTGATCTTTCCAACTTAGAGTCCAGTAGAAAAGGAACAAACATACATAAAATAATAGTCTCTTCCCAAGAGCTAAAAGTGAGTGTAAACAGAACATGCTACGGGAGTACAAAGCAAGCAGGCTCACCAATGATGAGCAGTCAGTGAGGCCTCATGGTGGGAATAGAGCTGAAACTTGGTATTGGAGGATAGACCTTAGACTAGTAAGTGTATGGTCAGGTATGGGGGACCAGAGGAGAAGGGAAATTCACATGGCACGGTTAGAGAACAGTGACTAAATCAGTTTGGTGGAGCCCTTAGTCTTAACAAAGGAGTAGTGGAAAATAAGGCTGTAGACACAGGTAGCATTTATACTGGGGCCAGCCTTGAAAGACACTTGAGTTGCCAGGTGCAATAGCATGTTTCAGGCAACAAGGCGAGGGATAGACAGGGAACGCAAACTGGGGACAAGGAAAATCACCCCAATATCTAGGGGGAAAAAACATGCAAAAAAAGCACATATTTCGGAGTCATACCTATGTTTGAATCCTAGTTTCATCACTTGCTGCCAGTATGACCCTGGACAAAGACTCAATCTTTTTTGTGCTTCAGTTTTCCCACTTATGAAACATAAATAATAGTTCAGAATTATTGTGAGGATCTATGTCCACAAGGTAACTTGCACAACTCTATAGCTAAGTAAGCATAACGTCAGCTCTTGCTGTGGTCCGGGCATGGAGGACAGGGGGTTTGATGAAAGGAGAGGCAGGGGGCAGATAGGAGAGGGAGAGGGCTTGATGAGTGTCCAAAAGTCAGAAGAACTGGAGGAAGAGGAGTCCGTCATTCAAACGTCAGCTCTTGCTGTGGTCCGGGCATGGAGGACAGGGGGTTTGATGAAAGGAGAGGCAGGGGGCAGATAGGAGAGGAGAGGGCTTGATGAGTGTCCAAAAGTCAGAAGAACTGGAGGAAGAGGAGTCCGTCATTCACTCAATAGGGAGAGGGAGCAAGTTGCTCCTAAAGTCTTTTTCTGTCCTAAGATTCAAAGGTAACGCCAAGTTAGAGTTTAGAAACAGATGTCAGGGCTTTGAGGCAAGTACCATAGAGGTGACAGGATCAGATTGTGGACAGCAAGAATCTTCAGTGTTACTGCTCAGACAAACACCAACCCAGCTAGAAGCAAGTCCCAGCCTCCACCCCCTCCCTGGCCTGCCTTTTGGGGCCCTTCTCTGACCCAGGTTCCCCTGTCCTGTGACTTCATCACTCACAGGGATGATCCAGGCTGTGGCTGGATTCTTCACCTACTTTGTGATCCTGGCTGAGAATGGTTTTAGGCCTACTGATCTGCTGGGCATACGCCTCAACTGGGACGATCGGTATGGGAATGATCTGGAAGACAGCTACGGGCAGCAGTGGGTGAGTAGAGGGGAAAGGTGGCAGGAGTGACCAGGAAAAGTGAGGAAGTGACAGGGAAGAGTGGGTTGTGCAAATGCTTGAAGAGTGGGAGACAGGAGCCACCAGAGTTGATGCCTCACCTCTGGTCCTACAGGAGCACTTGAACATTTGACCTCAATCTCCAATCACATCAGCAAATATTCTCCTCTCTGCTGACAATGACCTCATCTCTGTTAATTCTTACTATCTGTTGTCTGTCCCTTCCTTTCCGGATCCTTTGACCCCCCTGGACCTGGAGATCTTCTTTGTCATATCAACTTTTCTGGGCTGATTTCTGTTTTGCCAGGTTTTAATCATGATTGCCCCAGAAATGAATTCTGGGTCCTCTTCTGTCACACTCTCTCCCTCCAGGAGATTTCAAATAGTATGGTTTAAAATCAAAAAACCTATTTCTTTGTATATTCCTTTCTCATTGTTCTAAGCATTTTAAACCTAGAGGATGCTTCTCTGTAATAGTCTTTTCTAACATCCAAAATAAATGAGGCTCAGACTGAAGGCCTCTCGCCAACCATATGTGTTCAACAATTTTGTAAGTATGCTTTTTTGTATCTGTGAACATTCCCGTCCCAATTTTTAAGACATTGGGAGATGTTACATCAATTATCACTAAAATAGAATCACAGAGGACACATAGTCTATTACCATCATTCTATAAATGAGGAAACTGAGTCTAGAAAAGTTTAATGACTTCATCAAGGTCCCACAGTGGACACCTAAAAGAGCCAGACTACAATCCTGGACTCTTGATTCCTACTGAGCACTTTCAACTTCACCATGATGCCTCCAAACCAGGCAACTACAGGTTTCTCAAAAGTATGTTCAAATCTAAATTGAAAAAATGCCCCTC